CCCCACTACTGGTGTCATATCTCCAACCCTTTGTATAAACTGTAGCGCTCCGTCACGATGACCAGCAAGAAGCTGAAAAATTAAAAAAAAAAATTTTTTTTAGGAAGTGCGTTTGCGAAAGAAGCGGCAGATATGGTATTCAGGAAGAGCGATATAAAGCATCTTGTAGAGGGTATCGAAGAGGGACGATTGCTGTATGCTAATTTAAAGAAAACTATTGCATACACATTGGCTCATATGGTTCCAGAACTCTGTGCTGTAGTATTTACATTCGCCTTCGGAATCCCAATAGGCCTCAGCAGCCTACAGGTTTGTTGATATCGGTAAAATACTTTTTTTTAAATGAACGATTTTGTTAAATGGAAATTTCCTGCATTCACATGAAAATTGCAGAGCTAACTCTAAATCATCGAAATTATTATAAATTAAAGCTTGAATATAAAACAAATTAAAACTTGAAACTTTAGTTTCTTTGAAAAAAGGCATCTCCCATACTGTTTACTCCGTAAAGGATGAGTTTGTCTTAACTTCTTAATTCAATTTCTGTTCAGCCTAAGTTTAATTTCCGAGGTTCAGAAACTTCAGAACTTCAAGCTTTTACCATTTTTTCTTTACATTTTTTAATGCACTTTAGTTTTAAATCGTTGTGGCTCCACCTCACGTTTCCTCCACTACTTTTTCTGAAATTTTTTTTCAAGATTTTTATTATTCAGGTATTGTCAATTGATCTAATAACAGAAATGCCACCCTCAATTGCGCTCACTTATGAAACCCGAGAAAAGGATATAATGTTGAGGGTGCCGAGGAAGAAAACTTCGAAACTGGTCTCACGAGCACTGCTTACTTATTCGTATATTTTTGTGGGCAGTATTATATCGGCTGGATGTTTCGCTGCTTATTTAGCCGTTTTTTGGTTTGTTTTGCTCCTTCTGTTTTTGCAGAAATTCTGAATTCAGTATTCTGGATGAAACATAAACTGTGATAAATTTTCTCAAGTTTTTCTCGAAAACTTTAATTGTCGCCCACTGATTTCTGTGTATTTTTACACCATTATTGACATTCCAACACTCTAGAAGATAAAAAGGCTCTTTGTGGCACATTGAGGCATGAAAAATGATTTATTCCAAAAATTCTGGAATTTCACAAAATTACTGCGTTCAGCTCTAGTTCCTTAGTATTTATTATGCATTATCTCGTTTGAATTGAAGCATTTGAATGTTTTAATTTATTCCGGCCGTGCCGGCTTGTTAGTCCGCGGTGAATCGGCTAACCCGACTTTTCCAATCTGATTTTTTTTTAGTCGTAATCTTTTTCCGCCAGTAGTTTGCGATGGCAGTAGTTTGCTTCTACTTTTACATCCACTAGGGTTTTCCTGAATCTTGACTTGTAATATTTCATGCATTGGCTTTTTTAATTCATATTTGTAAAACTTTCTTCTGAGTATTTCCAGCTTGCTTAGTACTCTTTTAGTCCAGCCTGTTGCTTTGGTTAATGGAAAAAAGAATTTTCAGGCACTACAGTATAACACCGCGAGAGTTACTTTATTCAAATACAAATTATTGGCACTCGACTTCCG